GGAGCCTGTGCTCCGCAACAGGAGAGGCCACAGCAGTGAGAGGCCCGCGAAAAAAAAAAAAAAAAAAAAAAAAAAAAATGAAGCTGGCCCCAGCATGCCAGGTGAAGTGCAGCCAGGACAGACTAGAGAAGAGGAGATGCATTCAGAGAGGTCGCCAAAATTAAGACCAGAGCCATCTCTGGAGGGTTGGCACTGGGAGTAAAAAAGAGAGTTATTATCTCCAGGAGGTATGAGTTAGTATTTCTTGATCTTGGCAACTGTCCTGACATAGAGTCAAAGCACAGGAAGGAGCTGGGTCAAGATGACTGGGAAGAAAGAGGGAAGTAGCTTTCATTGAAATAGTGATGTCAGGAGCGGGGGCAGATTTAAGAGAACTCACTCTTGGGAATTACCACATGATGGCATGTTTATACAAATAGACAAAGATAGCAGGACAGAAGAAGATTAATTCTAGATAGCCAGTGTAATGTTTCCAGTAAGCCTAGTGGAAAAGAATTATATTTTATCTCAACAACAACAAAATCAACTTGTATTGCTGAGGCATCCTATTAACATGGCAAATGAGAGAATATAAACAGAAAGCTTGAAGACATTAAACAAGTACATTTCTTGGAGCCTATTAACCTTTATCCTATGAAAAACTAATTGGCAAGCTATACATATATGATAAATGTCCAAAATATAGCTCTGTGTGTATGCCTAAAGAATATATTTAGTCACTGAAAAGCAGCTAGAACATTGGTTTTTCAAGTTTCTATTTGAAACACTTGGAATGAAGAAGCCAGAGCAAAATAGTATTCTCATATCTAATCTTAGGAGAGTCTGTTCTCTATCTCATTCTGTCCAGCACTGGTTTCCAAGGAGGTTCTGTGGATAATATATCATGCTATCAGGTTCAAGAATGTGGAGATCTACCCGAGTATCCCTAACATCCCTAGATAACCTGATACAATTCTGTCATCCATAAATTTCCTATCCTTTTTCCAGCCTTTTAACGTTTTCAGGTTTCACCATGTCATTGAACAATAAATCTCATAATTCAGGAAACGATTACCAACTATCTTTTAAAAAGTCTTCTCAACCTTCATTTGTAAAATGAAAAGTCTGTAATGCACATGGTAGATGCTCTATTTATTTTTGGCCACGTTGGGTGTTTGTTGCTGTGCCCGGGCTTTCTCTAGTTGCGGCGAGCAGGGGCTACTCTTCGTTGCGGTGTGCGGGCTTCTCACTGCAGCAGCTTCTCTTGTTGCGGAGCACGGGCTCTAGGCGCACGGGCTTCAGTAGTTTTGGTGCACGGGCTCAGCAGTTGTGGCTCGCAGGCTCTAGAGTACAGACTCAGTAGTTGTGGCGCACAGGTTTACTTGCTCCGCGGCATGTGGGATCTTCCCGGACCAGGGATCGAACCCGTGTCCCCTGCATTGGCAGGCGGATTCTTAACCACTGCGCCACCAGGGAAATCCCTATGCACATAATTTTGGTTGCCTTTTTCCTCTAGTAATGAGGCATTGTGGAAAGACAGTGAGCTTTGGGATAATATCTAGTTACCTGTTCTGTAAAATGCAAATAATGAAACTTCATCCTTCCAGTTGTTTAGGCTGACTCTTTGGAGTTATGCTGACTCCTCTTATCTCTCATACCTACATCCAATCCCCTAGCAAATTCTGTTGAGTCTACCTTCAGTTACATCCAGAATCCATCACTTCTTGCCCCCTTCAGTCCCACCTCTGTCCAAGCAACCATCATCTCCTACCTGGATTACTAGAGTAGCTTCTTTTTATGTTTGTTTTTTGTTTTTACGTAATAATACTGGTAATTTTATTAATATCGTTTCCATCAATATGCTAGCAGTGCATATGACAGAGCTGGACTTCTAGCGCAGAGTGTGAGTTCAGGCTGTGCTATGATTTCATATCCTGTGGTTTTGGCGTATAGTAGCTTCTTAATTCTCTCTTCCATCCTTGGTGCTCTATTCTCAACTATGCAAAGGACATAGTGATTCTTTTCAAACATAAGGCAGATCACTTTCAATTACAAGCCAGAGTCTTCGGCCATAACCTCAAGGCCCCACACCATCTGGTCTCCCAATAGCCCCTCTCGCATTACCAATTTCCTTGTTCATGCTGCTCCAGCCTCACTGCCTCCCAGCTGTTCTGCCCCTGTCTCAGTGCCTTTGCATTGGCTGTCCTGGCCTGGAACACACTTCCCTCATCTCCTATCAGTGTCTGTTCCATTATCATCTTCTCAGGAAAGCCTTTCCTGACTGACTTTATTTAAAATATAATTCCCCAATTCTCTCCATCCCTCCTTTCTGCTTTATTTTTCTTCATATTACCTATCACCATCTATTACTAGACAATACATTTCACATGATTTTATTATATGTCCCTCCCAGTGCGTATATCAATGCCCGGCATAGTGGAGGTGCTCAGGAAATATTTCCTAAATGAATGAAAACAGCCCTACTTTTAGGCACTGATTATTATATGCAGTTATACATCAGAACAACACATATTTGCTCAATAAATGTTACCTTCATTCTTTCCCTTTCATTTTTCAAGGCATAGCGTATGGAGTTGCACACAGCATTCTGAAATCAAGTTTAACATAGTTTTTATGCAGAAAAGTCATCATTACTTAACATGTGACTATAGAACTGTACTGCACTAGTGTTTTCAGAAAGCATTCTTCCATTTTTCTGTCCACTCATTTAGGCTTATGAGGTCTTCCTGCAATGTATTTATCTGTTTGAGATTGTATTACTTAGAAGGTATTAGTTAATACATTTACAAAAACGTTAGACCAGTTGTAGTAACAGTTTGCAGACACTCAGACTTAAATTTTTTTTCCATCTAGAAAATGTCTATTCCAAATTTTTATTTCAATTCCATGAATTATTTTTCTAACACCTTTTGGGGAAGAAAAGCTTGTCAAAAACTTTTTTTCTGATGGAACCTTCAAGTACTTTAGTAATGATTATTTTCTGATTTAAACAATATATGTATACTTAGAAAATACTGTTTTGGGTACAAAGTTATTTCTATGCATATAAAATACACACATATACATTCAAGGAGGTAAATTATTCAGATATGCTACATTCTTATTTATGTTTTATCTACCTAATCTATCAAAGACTATTAGAAGTATATTAGTGACTACTAGTCACTCATCATCATTGTAATTCTATCATTTTCTGTCTGTATCTCTATGTTTTTGTTTTGTTTTGTCTATGTTAATCCTCTAATTTGATGTAACAAGATTTGGGACCTTTAAAGTTTATTATGGATTTTGTCTTTCATCAACAACAAAAATATTTTTATATATATATATATATATATATATATATATATATTATTGAATGAAAGATTCTTTAAATTCTACAGTGCTTTACAATTTTTAAAAGTTTCACACACATGATATCATATAATCCCATAATAACCCTTTTCCCCCTACCCTATATTTCTTCTACATATTTTAAAAGTGTTTTGCTCTCACTTTTTACATGAAATTTTAATTGTAACCTCTATTTTCTTTTTGTTTGCCTTTTAATTTTTAATCTTTCTTGTGATTTCTAGTCATTTACTCATTCACTGATTGATACAACACATATTTATTGAGCTCCCTGACAATACAGGCATGAGCACGACAGCCATGGTCCTTTCTTATGTAGCTTATATTCTAGTGCAGAGAATTGGGCAATAAACAAAATAATTCTAATAGTATTGTAAGTGCTATGAAGAAAATAAAATAGAATTATGTGCTAGCATGACAGGCAGCATGATAAGGTAAAAGTCTTATCTTTTATCCTTTTACTCCTTCTTATCTTTTAGTTAACGGAGGGGAATATTTTTGTCCTTCAATAAAGGGATTTAAAACACATTTATCAAAATAGCTGATATGTGTGATCTTACATCAGTTTTCTTATTTTAGGTTTTCTGGAGGCTCTTGCTTCCTTTTAGTTTTTGTTCTCTTCATTCCTATGGATAATATCTTTTTGGTTTTTTCTCCAATGATATGGAAGATGTTATTATTCTTTTTTATGTAAGTGGTTATTTTATAGTCGCTAAAAACATTCTATAATCTAAATTTTGCCTGTCACATCCAATAATTGTATCCTTTCCCCCTTTGTAACATGTAAAATGTAATCTTCCACACTCCTTCTTACTTATAGTCTTTATCAATATAATCTTAAAAGTTAGATTTTATTGGGCTTCCCTGGTGGCGCAGTGGTTGAGAGTCTGCCTGCCGATGCAGGGGACACAGGTTCGTGCCCCAGTCTGGGAAGGTCCCACATGCCGCGGAGCGGCTGGGCCCGTGAGCCATGGCCGCTGAGCCTGCGCGTCCGGAGCCTGTGCTCCGCAACGAGAGAGGCCACAACAGTGAGAGGCCCATGTACCGCAAAAAAAAAAAAAAAAAAAAGGTTAGGTTTTATTAATTATATTAAATAACTGTTCTTAATCTGGTTTTATATCTATAGCAATTACAGTGATTTATCTCCATATTTAACTGCTTTTCATGCTTACTATCAATCTTTATACAATAATTTTATCTTTCTGAATTTCTTAATTATGATGTTAAACATCTCTAGATTACTTTAAGAATGGCTTGAATATAGGTTTAAGCTCTTGCATATTTAACACTGGTTTTCTGTTGTTTTTACATATGAACAGTAATTTTACTGGCTATAAAATTCTTATGTCACAATTTTTGTTTTGCTCAAAACTACATATCACTCCACTGTCTTCTGAGTAGGTAACTTGTTTTTTCTGTTTCGTTCTTTAGTTTATTTTCCTTTGAAATTTAAAAATTTATCATATATAGCATAGTATGTGGGTCTCAAGACTCATTCTTTTTCAAAGTTAGTAGTAGTTTAGATCTCAGTTATCTTCCCTCTGTACTCTATTTGTCATTTGGTCTCTTTTAAAATTTTGCCATTACATTTTTCAGTTACTTGATAATACCTTTTAAAGGGTCAAAGAAACCTGAAGTCAAGAACTTACCTTAAATTTTCCTGGGTTGGTAGTGTCCTCAGGCTCAGGCAGAAGCAAACATAAATCCTTTCTAGGGAATCCCTTTTCGTCAAACCTAAAAGATTCTCATAGATACAATTCCAAGGAATATTAGTTCTTCAGTCAGAAATCATAAAATACAGAAGGAAACAAGGCTGGATGAGTGAGAGTTAACAAAAAATAGAAGAATCAGATCTACAGAGGTCTCAGATATCGGTATATCTCATACAATACAAAATAATTATGTTTACTGTATTTAAAAAATAAGCAGGCTTGAAAATATAAGAATCAAGAGACTTTTTAAAAAGATCTAGCATATTTGGAAAAGAACACAATGAGACATAAGGAATTAAAAATAGTCATTCAATGCACAGGTTGACATTTAGCATATTAGATACAAATGAGATTTTTATGGGTTAAAAGATCTAAAGGAGTTACTCAAAATGTAACACAGATACAGAAATGCAAATTGTAGCGTGGAGGATGCTAATATTATATATATTATAATAAAATAATAGCTATTAGTATAATAACTAATATTATAATGAAATGTGGAGGTCTAACATGAATCTTAACTGGAATTCCAGAAGCAGAGGGGTCAAAATCAGAGAATGGGGCAAAGACAGTATTTGAAAAGACAGGAGCTAATAACTCTCCAAAACTGGTGAAAGACATCAATCTTCAGATTTAAGAAGCCCCCCAAAATTCCAAAAAGAATGAATAGAAATCCACATTAGACATATCATAGCGAATGTACACAACACCAAAGACAACTAAGATATCTTGAAAGATTGCCTCAAAGGAAAGTAGACTTAAAGCTGACTTGTCAATAACAACAGTGGAGCCAGAAGGCAGTGAAATAATATCTTCAAAGTGGTGAGAAAATATAATTGTCAATCTAGAATTTTATATTCAGCAAAATTTTAAGAATAAGGGTAAATAAAATTATTTTCAGATATATAGAACCTGGAAGAATATACACCAAGAGACCCTCTCTAAAAGAAATTCTAAATGATATACTCAGGCAAAAAGAAAATGATCCCAGATGGAAGACCTGAGCTTCAAAAAAGATTGATGAACTAAGAAAGTGGTTCATATGAGAATAAATCTAAGCTAAAGTTGATTTATAAAACAAAAATAGTAATGGCTTATAGCAAATAACTTAGGAAGGAAGTAGCTGAAATTAAAGCATTCTAAGGTCCTTGTTTTATGTAGGAGGATGGTAAAATCACTGGCATTTATTCTCTGTTAAGTGCATGTTAACATTTCTAGGGTAATCACTAAAAAGAAATAGCATAACTTCTAAATATAGTGGAGATTTTAAAAGGAATAAAGACATTCAGTCAACCCAAAAGAAAGGAAAAGAATAGAAAAAGAAAGAGAAGCACACATAAGATGGCAGAATAATTGCAGATATATCAGTCACTATAATATGTGTAAACTAACAGAATCCTCCTGTTAAAAAGTTTATTAGATTGATTGGAAAGATAAACTAGCTTAAAAGAACTCTACAAACAGTATTGTGATTTATATGAAACCCGTGTAGATTCTAAGGGTAGAGAAAGGTTTCAAGAAAAAAGATGACATAACTACAAATATAGTCAGAATAAACATTAAGGCAAAAGGTATTACCAAAGATAGAGGGTCACTAGGTCATGGTTAAAGGTTCATTTCACAAGGAAAATATGACCGTTGTAAAGTTGCTTGCCCTTAACAACATAGATTAAAATTATGTAAAGTAAAAATGGAAAGGAACACAAGCACAAGAATAAAAAGAAAAATCTGTCACTGGAGTTGAAGATTGCATTATACTTCTTTTAGTAATTGTTTTATCAAATAGCCCAGGGATCAGCAAACTTCTTCTTTAAAAGTACCATATAGTAAATATTTTATAGTAAATATGTTTGCAGGGCACATATTGTCTCTGTCATATATTTCTCTTTGCATTATTCTTAGTTCACTGGGCTGTACAACAGTAGGCTGTGGGTCAGATTTGGCTGATGGGCTACAGTGTGCTGACCTTGAAATAGACAGTAACAGTCAAGAAGAGGGTAAATGATTTGAGCAACAGAATTAACAAGGTTGATATTGACCACAAAGATGTATATAATGGACATTCTTCTCAAGGATGCATGGAACATTCATGAATATACTTTTAGAAATAATTTGGCCTTTCTTCATAAATTGAGCATGTGATTCCTTTATGACCTAGCAATTCCACTCCTAGGCATATATCCTAATGCACTAGTGGACATGTAGAAGAATGATCACAGTAGCACTATTCATGATAGTAGGAACAGGAAACAATACAAATATCCATCATCCACAGAGTGAATAAATAAATAGTGCCTATTCATAAATGGAATACTCAAAGGAAGGGAAAATGGATTTAAAAGTTCTTCACGTGGCAATATGGATGAATCTTAACATGGTATTAAGGGTATAAAGCAAGCCACAGAAGAATAAATACAACTATACGAAATTCGAAACACACCAAGCTATACAGTATATTGCTTAGAGCTATAAATATTTGTGATACAACTATACAGAAAAGCAAAGCAAGGCTATACACAAATTCAGACTATCATTATATAGAAAACCCTAAAGATGCTACCAAAAACTGTTAGAACTAATAAATGAATTCAGTAGAATTGCTGGATACAAAATCAACCAGACAATGGAATATTACTCAGCCATAAAAAACAATGAAACAATGCCATTTGCAGCAACATGGATGGACCTAGAGATTATCATACTAAGTGAAGTAAGACAAAGAAAGACAAATATATTACATTGCTTATATGTGGAATCTAAAAATTGATACAGATGAACTTATTTAGGGGCTTCCCTGGTGGTCCAGTGGTGAAGAATCTGCCTTACAATGCAGGGGACGTGGGTTAGATCCCTGGTCAGGGAACTAGGATCCCACATGCCATGGGGCAACTAAGCCCGCGCACCACAACTACCGATCTTGCGTGCCTCAACTAGAGAGCCTGCGTGCCTCAACTAGAGAGCTTGCGTGCCTCAACTAGAGAGCTTGCGTGCCTCAACTAGAGAGCCAACACTCTGGAACCTGCACGCCACAACTACAGAGGCCACACACTCTGGAACCCACGTGCCACAACTACAGAGTCCATGTGCTCTGGAACCTGTGCACCACAACTAGAGAAGAGAAAACCCACATGCCACAACTAGAGAGAATCCCGCGCACTGCAACCAAGAGCCTACGTGCCGCAACGAAAGATCTGGCATGCCTCAGTGAAGATCCTGTGTGCCACAACTAAGACCCGACGCAGCCAAAAATAAATTAAATAAATAAATAATCTTTAAAAAGAATGAACTTATTTATAAAACAGAAATAGACTCACAGACATAGAAAACAAACTTATGGTTACCAAAGGGAAAAGGAGGAGAGGGGTAAATTAGGAGTTTGGGATTAAAATCTACACACTACTATATATAAAATAGATAACGAAGAAGGACCTGTATAGCACATGGAACTATACTCAATGTGTATAATAACCTATAATAGAAAAGAATCTGAAAAAGGATAGATACATATGTATAACTGAATCACTTTGCTGTACACCTGAAACTAACACAAAATTGTAAATCAACTATATTTCAATAAAATTAAAACAAAAAATCAGTTGCACTTCTATACACAACAATGAACTATCTGAAAAAAGAAAATTTAAAAATCCCGTTTACAGTAGCATCAAACAATAACATACTTAGGAATAAATTTAACCAAGGAGGTAGAGGATCTGTACACTGAAAACTATAGGACATTGATGAAAGAAAGAAGACACAAATTAATGGAAAGATATCCCCTGTTCATGATTAGAAGACTTAACATTGTTAAGATGTCCGTACTACCCAAAGCTATCTATAGGTTCAGTACAATCCCTATCAAAATTCCAATGGAATTTTTCACAGAAATGGAAAAAACAATCTTAAAATTCATTTGGAACCACAAAAGACCTCATATAGCCAAAGCAATCTTGAGAAAGAAGAATAAAGCTGGAAGTACCAAACTTCCTGATTTCAAACTATATTGTGAAGCTATGGTAGTCAAAGTGTGGTACTGGCATTAAAAACTGACACATAGTCCAATGGAACAGAATCAAGAACTCAGAAATAAACCCAGGCACATACGGTCAACTAGTATTTGACAGGGAAACCAGGAAAATGCGATAGGGAAAAGATAGTCTCTTCAATAAATGGTTCTGGGAAAACTGGATCTTCACATGCAGAGAATGAAATTGGACCCTTATCTTACACTACTTACAAAAATTAAGTCAAAATAGATTAAAGACTTAAATGTAAAGCCTGAAACCATAGAACTCCTAAAGGAAAACATAAGCAGTAAGCTCCTTGACGTTGGTCTTGGCGATGTTTTGAATATGATGCCAAAAGCAAAAATAAACAAGTGGGACTACACCAGACTAAAAAGCTTTTGCACAGCAAAGGAAGCCATCAACAAAATGAGAAGGTAACCTACAGAGTGGGAGAAAGTATTTGCAAACCATATATCTGATAAGTGGTTAACATCCAAAATATATAAAGAACTCATACAACTCAATAGCACAAAATCAAACAATAGATTAAAAAATGGGCAGAGGACCTGAATAGACATTTTGTCAAAGAAGGCATACAAGTAGCCAACAGGCACGTGGAAGGGTGATCACTAATCATCAGGGAAATGCAGATCAAAACCACAATGAGATATCACCTCATACCTTTAGAATAGCTGTTATCAGAAAGACAAGATATAACAAGTGTTGGTGAGGATGTGGAAAGAAGGGAACCCACTGTTGGTAGGAATGTAAATTGGTGCAGCTGTTATGGAAAACAATATGGAGGTTTCTTAAAAAAAATTAGAACTAGGGCTTCCCTGGTGGCACAGTGGTTAAGAATATGCCTGCCAATGCAGGGGACCTGGGTTCGATCCCTGGTCCGGGAAGATCCCACATGCCGCGGAGCAACGAAGCCCGTGCGCCACAACTACTAAGCCCGTGCTCTAGAGCCCGCGAGCCACAACTACTGAGCCTGCGTGCCACAACTACTGAAGCC